CGCGTCACATCTCACCATCGGTGCTGTGCAAGGCACTTTTATCGCAAAGCGATCGCCAAACTAAAGATTACATTGTCTATCGTCCATTTTTGATGATGTGGGCTCTGATCGATTTAATCTATAGTGTACTATTCAAATCCGTAAGCACTCCGAAAGAGGAAGACTGGTCGATTTCGTTGTTCGATTACATACGAAAGAACGATGAAGCTATGCTCAAGTCCACAGACACAATTTTGCAAACTTTCACCGAGGAATTTCTGCCGTGTACATCGTTCGGCGAATTCTGTGATGTAGCTGGTAAGTGAATTAAATATGTTTTTAACCGACTTCACAAAAAAGGAGAAAGGTTATCAATTCGTCGGAGTATAACTTTGGACCATGTTAACCGATTTCTAACCTCACAGGTGGTCCCATAATAATTTGGTTTTAATCCCATCATCGGATCATGAAGAAGTTAACGATAATCTTAAATTTTTGTATGAGAATTGAAGTCGGTTTTGTTTTTTGCTTAAAAATTACTTGTACTATAAATTATGGTTTTTATAGTTATGCTAATAGCGCATTTTTTAATTTTCGGATTTTTAATTATGTAAAAAAATCTCTAGAAACCTTTAAAAAACTTGACCTTAGTAATTTGGTCGAACGCGTCTAGTGTCTATGAAACTTTCTTTTTATTTATCATTTGATTTTAATTATTGTGATTTTAGATGATTTTTGATTTTATATACTTTTTCAGGACTGCTGCATTTGATTGAAAATCCCGATGGGTTCATCGATGAAATCTTAGCTTCTCTACCCACAACATCATCAGCTTGAACTGGCAAAATTTTGCTTACATAATAATATAATTAATCAATTTGCTTCTAGTAGTCGATGGGTAGACATAGCACATTAAAGCACTGAATTTAAAACCATGCGTTGGAATATATTCACTACACACAATATCTGAATGTTCGCTGATAAATATTCGTACATATTAACCACATTTATTGCAAATTTAATCTCAATAAACCTTAACGTTCAATAAATAATTTTCTCTTTTTTTCATTATAAGGGATGTATTTCTATGGACATGTTTCATTAGGTGTTCGATTTTCGTGAAATTTACGAAAACTATATCATTGAATCCGAATAACTAAGTACATAGTATACCAAGAATGATAGAATACATTTTCATAGAATACAATATCATTTTCTGCATCGAATAGTTTACATACAACATATCGCACACCGTCTTCAAAAGAGTCATAACTCAAAATTTAGAGCTTTTATTTACCTTTCAGCAAAAGTTGGAGCAAATTTTTGTTATAAGGTAAAAAAAAACCTAAGGTAAAGTCGCCCTCACCCAATATGATTATTATGTGCTAAGAAATAGTTTTTCGCGTTTTCTAACAAACTTATTATTTCTCTTTTGAATACGGTGTGCGATATGTATGTAATATAAAATATATTTATACATTCGTGTCTGTTCAAATTCAGTGATAGCATTGGCTACGATACAATTTGCAAAAGCCCCAAAAATATAAAAGAAATCAGCTGATCTACTTACTATACTTCTACTACCTGTTCATTGAAAATCAAAAGCCCGTTTTTGCGGCTAACCCTTTCCACACTACTGTACAATTTGTCAATCACTGTGTATGCGTACTTGCCAGTAAAAAAGTTGAAAATATGTTGAGATAGGGCCCTTGTAGGGCGTTTTCGAACTGGCAGCCGAGATAGGTCGATCTTCCACAAAGGTGTCGATATTAAAATGTATTCGTCAATTGAACTAAATGAACTATGTATATGAACTAAAGCTCTAGTTCACTAAGGTAAACGAACTACAACTGAACGGTTCACTCGGAAGAACTAAAGTATACAACTGATGCCACATAAAACTTTTGCTTCGCTTTACGTGACTGATTCGCTTTGACAGATAAGATGAATTGTATGAAAATGCACAAAGCATGCCACATAAATCGTTGAAGCGGCAGCGCGAAGCGAATAGATGGCCAACTCCCATCTTTTTGCGCGCTTTGACAATCAGCGCGTCCAAATTCGGGTTTTCATGCAGAAACTTAATTACATAGATCATAATTTTAAATCAAAATAATTAAAATCCACAGCAACTTTGATGAGTAAAAAAGCGATACAACATTGTTTTCTTGGCGTTCATTGTGGCATACCTTTTGCGTCTGGCGCTTTGCTGGCATCAGCTTATGGGTATCCTAACGGCGCGTTTACATTGAACAATGCTGTCAAGACAATGAAGATATATGTACGTATTAGTTGTCAAAATTGTTCCAATGGAAAAGTATGTATTACTGAAAAAGTGTGCATGTATTGGTCATGATTCAATAATACAAGGTTAGATAATTATTGACAGCCGCGGTTTGACACTCCCTTACAAAAGGTTGCATATACGAAGTATGGGGAAAGGAAAAGAATGAAATCCATTGCTGCGAAAATGGTAGTAGAATGGTAGAAAAGTAGCCAAAGTAGGCAAATAGTAGTGAAATTCCTTTTGCAAATTCTAATGTATTTGCTGGAAATCTGGCATTTTCATATATCTACGTGAATTACGCAATTTTTGTTATTTAGCCGTATAAAAACTGCAAAAAGACTCAAAATTAAAACAAACCTACTATGAGATTTATGTAAACATCAAATTTAAAAACAGTTTATGTTTTCATCAGTTAAATGTGCTTCATATGCATATCCAAATAAACATATTGCACAAAAGCTTATACTTCTATTTCACAGCAAAGCAACACTTTTTCCAAGTAAATTTGCAAAGAAGCAACACTTTGCCACTGCTAAGGGAGCGGTGCGAGAGAGACAACTAACAGTTTATCGAACCTTGTATTAGGTGCGTTCGTTTAAAATCTCCAACAGAAACCAACCAACTGCCAAATTCCGGCGAAATGTCATCTCTTCGCTCACAAGAGAGAAGTATCCAAAATAGTACGCGAACAGAAAATTTGCAGAAACTTGCAAGTTAAACGAACAGCTGATATAATTTTTGTTTACATACAAAAGTGTAAAATTTAAAACGTACGAAAAGTCATCGCAAAGTGTTATACTGACACAGTTTATTGATTAAACAAATAACTACTTATTTCTTACAAGTTTAATTAGTCGCATTTTGTAATTTTTATCTTCCAAACCATCAAATTAAATTTTGTGATTTGCGTAAATGCCAACCAGCTGTTTTTGATCAGCTGTTTCCCTGTTGGCAAATTGCTGTTGGCAAAAATTTTTCCAACAGAAACTAACAGCTTCCCCTCAAAATGAAATGTCACTTTGCTCTCTCAATTTCCCCTACTTTGCAAGTTTTTTGCGTACGCGAACGCAAAAACCTGTAAGTTTTGGTTAAACATGAACAATTAACAGCTACGCGAACGAACCTATTATTGAATCATGTGTACTGCTATTGTCATGACAGTATTGTCCGGTGTAAACCAAATTCAAGGTTTCAGATGAAATTTCGATAAGCATATAAAATCTGTCAAAAGTTTCTCTTCGATGCTACCGATTAGGAACGTTCCGATACCATCAAAGTATCGATACCTACTCAAACCGCTATTTCGATAGTACTTATATGAGTGAAGCGAATGTATCGATACCGTTTTATATGCAACAAAGCGACAGAATTTTCAGGCGTTATCTGTGACATACCTTTTGCGACACCTTAGTGGAAGATCGGCTTACATATTTCGGCAACCACTCGAAAAACGTTGAAATACCACAAATTACAAATTAAAATCGGAGGTAAGCAAGCATCGACCACTTTCTGCAGGAAACCATGCGCTGCGACAAGATATTATCACTTTCTCGGCACCTGCAATACAAACACAAAAATTCTAAATAGTTAGTTAATAATACCTTTTCTTTTGAACACATTTCAAGAGTGGTTGTATATTTTTTGTTAACGTTGTGCTTAATTTGCTATATTCAAAGATGGCTTGAGAAATTGGTGAATCGAGAAGAAAACACGTTTTCTCACTGCAAATTCACAACTGTCAACTCATTGTTCTTCGCCAAATTCTTTGTTTACCCGTTGCCACAAATGTCATTCTGCGGGAATGCGCAAATAGTTAAATAAGTAACACTGTTACACCTAAGGCAGTCAATATGGCGGAATTAGAGCGAGAAGTTGCCAACCGATAACACCTTGTTTTATTGCTTCATGTATCGGAACTTCCCTACTTCCGATGCATCGAGGTTTTTTACATCTCTAATTTCTGTTGCATGATTAATATATGCTAAGGGTGGGTAACTCAGCAAATTTATAGGAATTGACTCAATGACTCCAACTCACTTTAAGGAGTCAGCTCATTCAACTAACTCATTTGACTCTTTGTATGTTACACTCATTCGTATCGTAGACTCGTTTTGAGGCATAGATGCGGTATAGCGGCCGTTGAAATAAAACAAAACTTTAAAGTGGGCGTGGTCAGCTCCTTTCTACTGATTTGAAAGGTGTAATTTTTTTTGTGTGCAAATTAATAGGGCGGTGCTAGGGGGAGGGTAAAGGTGGAATTTTCAATATTTTCAAAAGCTTATATTTCGAAACCTATTGTACCGAATTTCAAAATGTGGATATGGTTGGAAAGGCAATTGATTTGATATGCACATCTTTATATATCTTACATACATACATATTTCGAGAAAAACTAAAAAAAAAACGAAATTATAAGAATTTGTGAGATTTGACATAACACCCGCAATACAAAATACATGTGGTTGTGGTTGTTGTATTCTTGCCACCACCTTGTATAAATTCGCCTCGTGCAAAAACAAAATGCAAGACTTTGCCATGCTAAACACTGTGGCGAAGCGAGAGAGTTATATGGAGAAATATGAGCCACTATGATTCAATTGATTCATGTGAGCCATACGGCATCAACTGAGTTACTGAGTTACATTTTTTTTGGACAGGGAGTCTGAGTTACCGATTCACTTATAGGAATCAACTCAATAACTCAACTCCGAGTTGAGTTACCCACCACTAATATATGCATTTTTTTTGTAAATGAGTGGAGTAGCCTTCTAAAAAGAAAATTTCAGTAATTTCAATAAAATAAGTATTCACGACATTAGGACGTATTTGTCGTAAACATGATTCCAAAGAAAACATTTGTGAAAGATGCACACATCGTGAAAATCGCTGTGGAGTTGGAGAATCACTTGCCGCAGCTAATAAATTTGGATCAGCGACAGCCTTTAACAGGTAAATTTTATTGAAAAAGAAGAAAGATATCAACTATTTTTCAGTAGGTGTAAAATAATTAAACAGCATTAACTGAAAGAATTGGTAAAAAGCGTGCATAGTATATGTGTACATACATATGAGCATAAAAGCTCTAGACAGCCAACGCCCTTCCGCAATTATGGCTGCATTGATTTCGAACGCAGCACCAGCAAAGGAAGCTAATTTGTGGCATAATGCCGATCTAGGGCCCTATGTTTGACCAAATTTCTGTGGACAAATATCGGCACATTTCATTTCGAATCTGAACATACAGTTTTAGAATAAAAAGGCATAACATCTTTTATTACAGTTTTATTTAAAACCAAAGAAAGAAAAAACTGGATAAATGATCGCAAACATGTATACACATAGTGGCTGCATTTCTTTATTCATTCTGAACGTTGGGAATAAACTTTTTTGTTTACTTATTCTTTAGAACGTTCCTGATGATATGCTAACGTATATTTCAAACGCGTTCTGTTTATTCTGGCTGTGAAATCGGATTATCCGGAATGTATAAAGAAACTCAACCAGTATATTATTCTTATCCATGACTTTTTTGAGGGAGTTAGGAATATTTTTTATAATTTCACTAAGGTCATATTAGTATGGTTCGATTAAAAAAGCAACAAACTTAACAAATAATTATAATAATATAATGATAGACTGCAATATAGCAAAAGTACTAATTTGACAGAATAAAACCTAACCAACGGTCATGGAAAATAAATATGCTATGTTCATCATTTCCATATACATATTCTATGTTCTTTGAGGTAACGAATGTGCTACCACGTTTGTCGAAAAATGGTTTATGGGCCAGAGTACGCGGAGACCCTTATTAATTAACCATTTGAAGACCGAATTAATTTGCGCAGGGCTAAAACTTTTTCGATGGCGTATTATTGTTCCTTAATCCTCAAATATGAGTGGGTATAAAAATTGAACGCCTATGACTTGGTTTTACCGTTATGAAATGTTGCTTATGTTTACAAAGATTCCTAACAAAAACAACAAACTTAACAAATAATTATAATAATAGAATGATAGACTGCAATATAGCAAATGTACTAATTTGACAGAATAAAGATCATGGAAAATAAATATGCTATGTTCATTATTTCCTTATATATATTCTATGTTCTTTGAGGTAACGAATGTGCTACCACGTTTGTCGAAAAATGGTTTAGGGGCCAGAGTACGCGGAGACCCTTATTAATTAACCATTTGAAGACCGAATTAATTTGCGCAGGGCTAAAACTTTTTCGATGGCGTATTATTGTTCCTTAATCCTTAAATATGAACTGGTATAAAAATTGAACGCCTATGACTTTGTTTGACGGTTATGAAATGCTGCTTATAAATGTTTACAAAAGGTGCAATCCCGTATTCCTCGGACTCGGACTAGTAAAACTGTCAAATAATAAAAATTCGCTCAGAGCGGGAGAGTAACATTAAAAAGTACGGGATCGCTTTCTAATAAAAAATGGTAACTTCTGTCAACTTAACATAACCTCCAAATTTTGGTTGTAAATGCTTTATTGCTTTGCTTATTTTGTATGTAAACACACTCAGCTCACACATGTAAATAACCAAAAATACTTTCAAATTCATTAAAATCCACTTAAACAAGTAATTAAATACTTTTCAACATGAATTAGCAGGGTGCACTTTTCTTTTGTTTACAATTTGGTTGCCAAACACACTACAGCTGATCGTTTGACACATTTACCAGCAAAAAATTCTCGGACTAAGACTGGTAACTTCTGACAGAGAGAACCGTATTTACTCTCTTTTTTGCACTCTCAATAGTCGGAGAACCGAGTACGGGATCGATTTCCAGTAAAATCTGACTGATTCTGACTAGTCCGGACTCGTACGGAATCGCAACTAAAGGTTCCTAACAGAAACCAATGACTTTTGTCACGGTTTTAGGTTTTTATTTCATTTTCTTTTTTATATTTTTTTGGCAAAAAAAGAGGTTATTATGTGTATTTTTTTAATGTTGCAAAACCAATTTAAGCAATATTTATGTTACACAAGTAGTCTCAACGAAAAGGTGCTAAAAACTAATTGTGTCAATACATTTGGTAAGAGGTTCAGCGTTTTGCCTTCACAACATTGTAAAGAACAAATAATCCAAACCACAAGATTTATAAATCAAAATGTCAATGTTGCCTATAACAACATCTGTCCTCACAGGGTTAATATAAAAAAAAAACTGAAAATCTAGATTTAATCGGTACAAACATACCGATTTAAAAAAAAAAAAATATTCAGCAGGACAACTTTCTTAAAGTCGGTACTTTCCCGCCAAAATCGGTACGAATGGTCACCGTACCTATCAGGGATGAAAAAGTAGGTACAATTGTACCTTTTTCCGACGTTTGATGACTTAAAGGTACATTAGGTACAGACACTAGATTTTAGGTACAATCATCTTTTGATCAGATGCATTTTTAGTTTTTTTTTCTATTTCCTTTACCGTGCTGGTATATTTACTTTGCTTTCATTTTGAAGAATAAGCAATTTTAAAAAAAAGTGGTCAAAAGGAAGTAATTAAAAAAGTCATATTATGTATTATCTTAAATATTTTACATTGCATTTAGAGCAGCCACTACGAAAAATTAACACTTTGCTAAGCTATCCTCAAATTCGTATTTTTTTCTATTAATTTTAACGGTTATTTTCACTAAGTCAAATTCAATGGCATTTACGGTCAAATGAGTGTAAACAAATTGTCAAATGGGACTAAAAGATGGTATTTTGATTGATTTAGATCAGAATAGGCCTTCATGCGTGTACATCCGCTGCTAAAGCGGCTATTTGTAAGTTTTTGGCCCATAATATCATCGATAAAGGAAAGAAAGTTGTGTCAAAATATGGCGACAAATTTTGTTGTCAAAATATGACATAATGAAAACCAGCCTATATTCACACATACAGTTCAGTGTCTAGGATGTCTTCCAATTTCATATTTTCTTTATATGAGAACTATAGCTATTTGACCCATATTCGCTTTTTGATTTGATATTTAAAATGCTTTCGAAGTTACTTCCTGCAATTTGATTATTTTCTCTAGACTTGCTGCACCTATCGAAAGGAATCGGATAAATAAGCAGACTTTTCCTGTTGTTTTATAAAAAGCTGGATAAAGAAGTATACTTCGCAAAGTGTGTTTTTTGTCTTTTTCGCCAATATTTTTCAGTAGCCAAAATTAGACAAAAACAACGCTTCTCCGATTCCCATTAGATTATATGTAGTCTATAGATATAGGCTCAGTTAAACAAAAAAAACATCCATCTTTTATATACATGTTTTAAATAACATTTATAAAAAAACTACAAATGAATGATGTAACTTTTTTAGGTGCAATCTGTCTTGTTTAGGTACATTTATTTTATGATATTAGGTACAATCTCAAATTTCCATTTTTCAACCCTGGTACCTATATTATTCAATTCATAAACATCTCCGATATGCTTGAAAATATTTCGCTAAATTTGCCAGTAAACCTCCACTTTAAAATTATTTTTTGCAGGTAAGATACAAGAAATATGTAATTGTTGGGGTATTGTCGATCCGGAGAATTATGCTTTGCAATTTTGTGATGTAAATAATCAAAAATATGTCACTGAGAAAAATCGCAATGAAATAAAAAATGGGTCAGTATTGCGACTGCAGTACTCACCTTCGAAAACTGCAAATGACACGCTGGAATCATTGCGCAGCGGGTCGACAATGGAGAAGACAAAATGTCTAAAACAACTCGCCACACTAAGTAAAGATCATACATTTGCCATGGAATTCATAAAAGAGCAGGGTTTAGGTATAATCATAAATATGATAGAAGATTCTGCGCAAAAAGATGACGATATACTCAAGTACAGCTTGGCCAGCTTTGTTGAGCTAATGGAGCATGACACAATTTCATGGGAAATATTGCAAAGCACTTTCGTTCAGCGCAATATTTACATAGTTTGTAATTTTCAACATTTCTCCAAAGAATGTACACAAAGTGCGCTTTCCAATTTGGAAAATATCGTACAAAATAGCAGCAAGTATGTACTAGTGGAAAAAGAAGTCACACTACAAGATCTACTGCACCTACTACAAGATGCCAATTCGGCGACAATTCAACAGAATGCTATAGCCCTCATCAATGCACTATTTATAAAGGCGGATGAGGCACGCAAACGGCAAATTGCGCACACGATTAGCGCCAAGCCATACCGGTTGGCTTTGATTGGCAACGCATCGGGTCGTCAAATGGAGATGACGCATCAATTGTATGTTTTGCAAACACTCACTTTGGGTTTACTAGAGCAAAGAATGCGCATGAAAATGAATGCACAAGATCAGGATGCACATGAGAAAATTAAAGAATTGCGACGTATTGCATTTGACGATTATTCTGGGCAAATGGGATTAGGCGATGAACAGTTGAGGCGCAGTGGGGGTGGCTCAGGCGGTGGTAATGTGAATTTTTCGCAATATTACAAGAAACTTGGTTTCAAATGTGATATCAATCCCGCACAGGACTTCATTGAAACGCCACCGGGTAAGTATTTAGCCACTGGGCGCATTTACATACATACATCTCTACTATAAATAATTCCCTTAGGTATTTTGGCTTTGGATTGCATGGTTTACTTTGCACGCACCTATACACAACAGTATACAAAAATTGTGCATGAGAACTCATGTCGCGCTGATGAGCATGAATGTCCTTTCGGCCGCACCTCTATCGAGTTGGTGAAAGTGCTATGCGACATATTGCGGATTGGTGAACCACCAGCCGAACAATCTGCGGATTTTCAACCAATGTTTTTCACACATGACCATCCTTTTGAGGAATTCTTTTGCATTGGTATTATAACATTAAATCGCACATGGAAAGATATGCGCGCTACAGCTGAAGATTTTCAAAAAGTGTTTAGCGTTGTCCGCGAACAAATAACGCGCACACTTAAGGAACGTCCGGAGAATCTGGAAGAGTTTCGCGCAAAAATCGCTTTACTTACCTATCAAACCATAACTAATTTACGTCAACAGGAGCGTACATCAAAAGAGGAATGCGATTCAACTGCATCTGCTATTGTCAAATTGAAAGAAAAGATCTCACCTCATATACTCGACTTAATAAAACAACAGAGACTCTCATATTTGGTAGAAGGTGAGTGGAAATTAAGTATTATTTATGGTAACACATATTATGAATTGTTTAAATTACATTTTATAGGCACACGTTTTTCGAAATACTCACGCGGCACACGCTCCAAAGACAAATTCTGGTATGCTCGCCTCTCGCCTAATCACAAAGTGATACACTATGGCGATTGCGATGAGAAAACCGTGCCAACGCTTGAAGAACTCACCAACAAAGTAGCTGTTATCGATATTAAACAACTACTCGAAGGCAAAGAATGTCCACATATGAAAGAAATGCGTACACGCAAAAATGCCGGCAATCTGGCTTTTTCCATAACGCTCGATAGCATGGAGAATACAACTCTGGACTTTGTGGCGCCCGATGAGACCACGTTTCATTACTGGACTGATGGTATAAATGCTTTGTTGGGTCAGGAAATGACAAGCAAACAAAAGAAAGAAGATTTCGATACACTGCTATCGATGGAAATCAAATTGCGTTTACTGGACACGGAAGGTGTTGACATCAGTAAAGATCCGCCACCAATACCTGAAGACCCGGAAAATTATGATTTCTGTTTTGAGAGCTAGAGTATTTTATGAGGATCCTGCATAGTATGTATTAGTGGTGTGTGCTGAGAATACGAAACGCAACAAAAAATAAAAAATAGGATTTCAAAAAAAAAAACATGCCAAAGTAATGTAAGTTAATATAATACAATGTAATATGTATTGATTAGTGGTAACGCGTACATTATAATATTTAATACAAATAATTCCAAAACAAAACCCTAAGCAAGAAAAAAAAACAATTAATTATTTTTACATTCAATTTGCAATATTTTAATAGTTTATTTAAGCTAATACCACAATTATATATGTGGCATCAAACAGCCATACAATTTATAACATACGTACACATGTATATTTATTTTTATTCTTTAACATTTTTTAAGCTAAAGCTAGACAAGCATAAATTTTTGGAATACAGCATATTCAATGAATCTTAATTATAAAACAAATATTTGTGCATCATATTTAATCGCAGTTTGGGTAGTTTAAACGCTATTTACCTCATAGATTCTACGGTTATTTCTTTTTTTCCATGTGTAATCGGAGTGGTGAGAAGTCGGAATTCTGCCATTAGGAAACTACGCATAGCATTTGCTTTGACCTTGCCTGCTATTACTATGTTTTTGACAATTAGGTTGTTTGGTGCATAGTTAAATTTTATAAGGCCCGTTTCTTAGTTATAGACATCAAGTCTATTTGCTAGCACTAATACTCGAAATTTTTTAAATTCATTGTGCGAATTTTCTGTCTCATATTTTAAAGCATTGAAACACATTTTACATTTACATATACATATGCAGTACATAGATATTAGTATTTACTCATTTTATGTCGTTTGTGCTATTACTTCAAAAGAGGTGCAACCGAAAAGAAAAATTTTGGTCGATTTTTTCATAAATCAATTCCTAGGATTTTTCTCAAATTAATGAAATTATTTTTTTTTGCATGATTATATTCTCTAAGTAGAAAACTACTGTTATACCTTTTTTGTTTCAATTGCTTTAAATCTCTACGATCCACAAACACTTATATCTGATTTTTTAGTTGTACCTCTTTTGAAGCCGGTGCGCGAAATTCCGTTTAAAAGTGTTCGTATATTTCAAAGTAAAAATTGTTTACATTTGATTATTTAAGGAATATATGTAGGATGTAGGATTTTTTAATATTATTATCCTATTATCCGCTCGTGATTTCAAACATATTGAGAAATACCGTAATATTCTGGATACATCGGCATTTTATTTCAAGTTATAAATAGCACGCCAATGGTACCTTTGCTTCCAGCGAATTTCCGAATATTTCTGGTCACAACTATGCACTAGTTAATATATTGCTTCTCCTTAAAACCCGGATTCATAATTTGAGTGTTCTAACCCGTTTTTATATTTCGTCAATTACTTTCTCTCCAATAGAACTCTCCGACAAGTATTGCTTTTGGACAATAGTTGTTGCTACAACTATCCGTATGTCATGTTGCTAAAAAATATTCACATACCTTGCCCTTAACACATATTAGCCCTATAGAGATTTCCGAAATTCTTCTGGAGTGACGGGTTTTGGTCAAAGATAAGTTGTTGTCCCATCATTGACTACGTTGTTTTATTTATTTATTTTTATTTTTTTTTTATTTATATCGGTTATTTGTTCCTGATGTATTCACTTTCCCATAAGTGCTTCGTATGCTAAGGCTGAAAAGTGCATTAAAATTCAAGCGAAATAGCTTCCAATTCTTATTTTCTCATTCGAACTGCATCCATTTTTGCAGGCCTTAAAACGGTGCACCTTGATTTATTGAGCTATTTATTATCCATGTGCTGGTAATTTACGACGCCCCGTATTAGCGCGTACCTAAGTTTTCAATCAAATATTATCCTCCATAAGCAAATCATTTTCATCGATACGATCAGGTAAGCAGACAAAAAATTCTAGCAAATTTAATATGGGTCCACGCGAGAATGGGTTTTGGTATCGTCCACGCTTATCACGCAAATATGGATAACGTTTGTAATTGAACATTTCGTTGGTCGTTAGATTCATGCAGGCATGCAATATCTGCAAATAAAGAACAACACTTTGAATTATGTACATACATACATATATTGGAAGTTTTGCCTTCCAGATTCACATATGTATATCAGGCATACCGATGTACAAGTCAATATCCAGCCGAGAGCGCAAAACACCACAGCCTCCAATAGTCCTAAAACATAGAGCAACGTAAAGCCCTCAATCATCACGCAATAGCAAGCGAAGTAAATGGTAAACGAGCAATTCACAGCCACTGAGAGTACAAATAAGAAGAACCACATACGGTTCCGCAAACCTACACAGTTGTGAATGAACGGGCAATGGTGGTCAAAATACGATACACATCGGTTACAGACGCGACAGTGCTTAGCTCGCAATGGACGCAAACAGCGGCAGCTGTGGCACAAACGCGTTAAAATTACATTTCGCTTTTTCAACTTGTCAAAGTAAGGTATCTGTTTGATGGCGCGATAGTAGGCATCAGAGCTTAGCGGTATATAGCCTGGATCACGACGATTCGCTATGACCCAACTGATCCACATCACTGCATTCCAATAAATGAAACAGTAATGGGAGCGACGTAAAATGTTCCAGGTGATTGGTATAGCCTTCGAAAGAAAATAAATTAGATACATACATATCGTTACTTTAATTCACAAGGCCCTAACCAACACTTTTTTCGAAACTGCGTTTTGCACAGATTTTGGCAGGATGTATTAAAATACACCTTCAATAAAAATTTTGAAGTGCTATTACCAAAAACAACGGAATTACATTCCGCTTTTTAAAAGGTCTGACACAGATTTTATAATGTTTTTTGCTTCTCCTGTAAAATAAAAAAATGTTGGTTTAGGGCCTTTGCGAATTAGGGAAATCTCTGTAAAAAATCTGGTCACACAGTTGATTCTAACTTTTAACAAATGTATGTATGTATGTATGTACATAATTACATATGTTCATGAATTTTACCTATTTATGTAACTTACTCTTATCATGTACATGGGATATCCCCACAATAACACCGAGAATAGGAAAAGTAGCAAAGGTCCTTTTGAGTCGCCTGCTCCACCAAATAACCAACCCCAAATTTCCGAAATTGACGGTATCCAGCGTGATTTTTTCTTCACTTCATTGTATAGTAATCGTACTATGTCCTGATGCTGATGCGCCTGTGCCAACATTATCGGCGTTTTACCATTCTTGTCTCGCGGCTCCAAATCCATGTTAGATTTTTCGCACAACAATCGTACACATGTCATATTGCCCGACAGACATGCTAAATGCAATGGTGTCGAACCGAAATTATCGGTTTTTTGGAGCTCAACACCCGAATACATAAGCAAACGCATGAGATCCGCATGCCCTTTGTAGGCTGCCCAGTGCAAAGCCGTGTCACCATTTATGTCCGTAAGATGATTAAGCGCACCCATGCCGAGTAAGTAGGCTGCCGTAGCTGTCTTGCCATACATGCATGCGCTCATGAGTGGCGTTAGACCTTTAAAATCGGCCGCATTCACAGCCACACCGGCCTGCAACAAAACTTGCACCACTGCGGCATGACCTTTGCGACATGCCCAGTGTATGGGGCGGGGACCCTGTGTCCCTAAACATGGCAAATCGACCGGCGCATTACGTTCAATTAAATAGCGCATAATTTCCACATTGCCACTGAGTGCCACCCAATGACCAGGCGTGTAGCCATGTCTGTCACGTGCCGACAAACATTCTATTCCGAATTTCTCCACCAAATTTTCCACGTCACTGACTTCTCCATTTTTTATGATATCAAATATATCGTCCAAATGCGCCATAGCACCGTCAATGCCTTCAAACAGTAGTAAATTGCTATCATCATGCTCGTCGATAGCTCCATCTCTGCTAGATGTGCGTCCAACTCCGCCGCCAACACTGTTTACACCCACTCCGCCACGTCCACCTCGACGCAACGTTGGTGGCGAATGCGGACGCTCTTCGGTGTTGGCGGCGCTATCCTCTTCGGCCACCATGTTGCATGAGGTCAGGGGCAACGCCCACACACTGCGGGCGGCCCCTGGACTGGGATGCACTTTGCTGTGCTGCGTTCTGATGATGTCGCCGCTGGCCACGTTATAAAAATCCGTTCTCTCCACAATCACAGTGCCTGAAGCTGAAGGTGATTGATGGAGCGGATTCTCGAGTAGATGAGAAATCTTGTTTGCTTTCTGCTTTGCTCCGAAATTGAGAAAACAAACCTTAATCTTTATTAATAATCGTAACCAAGTTTATTTTTTATCGACAAAGGATTTTAGGGGATTTAATCAATGTACATATGTATGTATATACATAAAATGAAATTTAATTTTTTTAATTTTGGAAAGAATGTTCTGGTGCTTCACTTTAAAACTGTAGGACTAACGAGGATATACTAAACAAACGAGCAAAAGGAAAATCAATAACGAACTGCATGACATTTGAGTTGTAATTGGTCCTTGACTGTTGGCTGGTTTCTGAGGGGTGATACAACCAAAGAAAGATGTGAATGTGCGTGTGGTGTGCGTGTGTATGTACATATGTACATACATATATAGGAATAGAAGAATTCGGACCCACATACATATGTACATATATACATAAATGTAAAGAAATTAAGTATGTTAATTTTTAAATTTTTAACGGTTTATATATTAAAGTGACTTATATGGAAATATGTAAGCACCTTACGAGGTAATCCATGTTTTCTTTCAGTTTTTAGTGCCAAAATTGTCATCTACTAGTAAAGCACAAAATGAACACCTCCGACGACGCATTACGTTGTCAGTTGAAAAATAACGTGCCGCCGATGTTATTTCCAAGCGTGGAAGTACTCCGAGCAACTGCTCTACGTTCTTGGTAACCACGTAAAGAGCATTCTAAATTCCTATTTACATAAGGCGGCCACGTCTTTCTTAAATTAAGGGAGATTCGTCAGTGAAGTGGTAAGGACCGCCGGGCGAAGTGTAAGTTGCTGGTAAGGTATTGCGCTTCACCTGGCGGTCCTTACCACTTCCCTACCGTATCTCCCTTGCGTAAACAGAGGCGTGGCCGCCTTATGTAAGTAGGAATTTAGAATGTACATTTGGTATGAGACATACTTCTGGGCCGCTTTACAAAGTAAGTTACGTAGAACGTAGAGCAGTTGCTCGGATAGTTCGACGCTTGGAAATAACTTCGGCGACACGTTATTTTGCAACTGACAGCGTAATGCGCCGTCGGAGCTGAAAGAAAACATGGATTATCTCGTAATTACCTATTTTCCCAGTGGGAAGAGTCCTATTCACGTACTACAGACATATTTAACAAATCACATATGTGCATATGTATGTGTTCCTAAAGGATTTAACAAATCACATATGTGCATATGGATGTGTTCCGAAAGGATTTTGATACTGGCTACTCATTTTCTCCGGATATAACATGTCGCCCCAATAATGAAATATGCAGTGTGAGACTTGCTTGATTTTTTACCCGGCTACGCCTAAAAATATGCAATTTATATTTACTCATTGCCTAACAATGTTTGTTTAACAACTTTTCCAGGAATTATGTACTAGCAGCGAGAGCGTTAACACAAAATAGAAAGGAAGAGAAATCGTGAGAAAGCTATTGAACGCAAAACCAGTAGAAACTTACGCCACTTTTATCCCTTTTGGTGGCTTAAGTTTTGACGCGCAATTTGATTTTGATTGCGAATATGAGTATGCAGATACCTACGTTAGTTCAATTATTCATAACAATTTTTATTTAACTTATTTTATTTTGAGCAAGATCTATGTACATACATATTTGCCCCTAATAGAGCATAGATTTTTTGAAAACATACATACATTCATACACAAGTTTCAGATAAAACATCTACGATTTCAATTAATTTCCATGTCTTT